ACTCCGTACGATATGCGAGACCTATTCGATGAGGATAAAAAAAAAATCAATACCTTTGAAAATGTCAATTACCTTTCTCCATCAAATTAAAATCAATGGAAAAAGAATGGCCCATTTAACTCTTCTCTCGTTAATTTTCTCCATCGGATTTTCGAAATAGCTGTAATGAATCCCCCGTGAATAAAGCACGAAATGGTCAAGGGACAGTGGGGGCCCATTCCAGCAGTATCTTTTTTACAAACGCGAGGGAGCGATAAATTAATCGGATTTTCTTCTTCTTTATCCCGGTGCCTTCGTCCACCACTCCGACTTTTCGTTTTCCTTTGTTACATCCAATCCCAGTTCTTTCAGCCACTCGTTTCCCAGTTATCCTTTTGGGACACGTACACTATAGATACATTTTCGTCGAACCCATACCAACCGACAGAATGGGGATTATCGGCGAAGAAGAACGTCTTGCCAAAACGGATACCACTGGTGGTATATCGTTCAAACTCGGTCTGATCGGATAACCACTCACTCCAATTTTCCTCCATCTTGTGAATACAACACACCGTGATGACTGTCAAATACGAGATAAAATTATCGGCACAATGAATTCCTTGAATTAAAATAAATCACGTAATTATCGATTGAAATGATACAATTAATACGCAATCAACTCGACACGAGAATATGGGCTGACGTGGAGGTAGACGAGCTGTGGCCTCCGGTGGAAATAGTAATCTTGACTGATTCGATACTAATCCAGTGAGCCTGACTATCCAACTCCCTCCGTCGACCTCTGACGTAAATTTATCCCCGTGCATCCCTCCCGGCGTACGCAAATCGTCGCTTGCCAGACGGATATGAAGACGAACCTCAAATATTTACCAGGAAGAAAGTATTAAAGGCCTCATTCTATCCTCCAATGAGGAAATCGAGCGATTGACCTGCGATCAACATTTGTTACAAATATTGAACTACCTCCATTTAATAAACAATTCGATGGAAGAGATGAAAACATTCATAATTGGGAGTAATTATCCGGTATTAACTGTGTGAAGGTATTCAATTTCTGCTAATTACGAGTATACAGAATAGTTTTTAATCAATTGTCAAATAATTATCTCGATCCCATCGGATAATTAATTATATTGATTAAATCATTACACTGTTGGAAAATTCAACTTGAAAATTTTTAACAATTCGTTAAAATTCAAAATTTCATCGAACACCAAATTATTTCACAGGGAAAATTCAATTTTCGGGATTTTCCATGATAAATGAAAAATTTAATGAACGTTTCAAATTGAAATTGGATTCGAACTCATAATTGGAAATGAAAAAAAATTTCAACACCGTATTTACAGGAGGATGAAAATGTCGAATGAAAAAAAGCGATTTGATGGAAATAAATAATTTTTGAGGGTTCAGTACAGTGTTTGCACACCGAATCTTTATACAGTTCTAAAAGCAAGTGAGTGGAATTTAATCTCGGTATATAATTTCACGGAAGACAGTCTCTGCATCCCATCCTATCCGCTCATACCCTAGCAACGAACTCGGCAATTATACTAAATGCATCTTAACTCCCGATTTAACTGCCACGACACTAGGTGGAAATAACGCGTTTCTACGAGTGTACGGGTATTCGTTAATTAATTAATGGATGTTTGCACCGAGTATTCAAAGCAGGTTACCCCTTTCCGAATGAAAATTGCGAGTTCAGTTTGTACTGGTGTTTTTGAGCATCGTCTTGGATCTCAAGGATGCTTCAAAGTATCAAATTAACGGAGGCAAATGGTCTGTAGGGTGAATGGAAGATGCATTACTGTTTGTAGATTCCAAATGGATGAGTAAAAGTTTGGCCGAAAACGAAGACGCGAACTGCAGCTTCATTACCGAAATTGCTTTAGCGTTTTCAGGCCAATTATTAGATTATACATAATATTGATATATATTGATATTGTAGGAAATAACAATATTCAATGATAAATTGACTAGCAATTGCACTGGAAAATTCATAATTTCCAGTAAATTTCAATTTGTTGGGCTCTCAAAGCGATCCTAAATAGCAAAGAAAATTTTAGCTGGGAAAGTTAGTCGAGGGATGGAGGTGCAATTTAGCTATGAACTAGACGGATACAGTAACACGGGTCTCTGGGTGATGGGGGTAGAAAGGTCGGGTGAAAGAGGGATTGATGCTTCAGGCAATTCGGTCGAGTGGAGGACAATCTCGTTACACAACCGGTTACCTCGGTGCGTGCTAGAAACTAGCCTTCAAATGCTCAAACCGGTACATTCCACACGATGCACCCTCCGTGTAATAGTGAATTCAAGTGATGGCGAGAGTTATGGGACTCGATCAAAGAGAACCCCTCACAAATTCAGTTTCCACCTCATGATGTTGGACGCACCAATGGCCTCTCTTCCTGCTTTTCCACCAGCCCCAAATGTCCTATTTTTCAGGGTCTTCCGCATCCCATCAACTACCCATCGAAGGTATCAAATATCATCGCACTTATAATTCATTACCAGCAGCATTCCTCCAATTGACTGTTAAAAGTTCATTACCGAGAGACAGAAAAAGGCCTGGGGGACACAACTCTTAATCAACTCGTCCGGGTAGACTTTCGTCAATTAAATTAAAAGTTAGTGGAGGGAGGAGAGTAATCGAAATTTTTTTAAATACATGAATAAACGAGGGAGGACTATTTCAATTACAACTGGAGGATTGGCGAAAATCCAGAGATACTGGAGACGGAGGAAAATGAAATTAATAAAAGACGACTCATTCACACGAATGAAGTTTTTAATGGAATTTCACTTCCCCCCCCTCAGAAAATTAACATCGCCGCTTTTTCCTATTTACATGAGATTCACTTGAATCTTCATCGCACTCTTGACGATCTCTCGTCATAAAATTAAGGTGAGAATTATAATGAGAAGATGGAATGATTAATTAGAAGTGAATATAATTGATTTCAATTTACCCGCGGTACATTCATCGAAATGCAACCCCCACTGTAATTCCATTTACCACGAGACAAATAATTTCCATATTGATGTGGTTTGAGTCGACCGGTGAAATTCCAACTCGCCATTGATTTTTTATACCAACACCTAGTGGCACACGTGCGTCCAATATGGTGATACCAGACAACTTGTCGATTCACCCTCACCATATGGTGAATTTTTCCTCTGTGTTGATTTTTTCAACGCCTCGTCAACCGCATTAAAAATTGAAAAGAGTTCTCCATGAGTCAAAAATTGATAAGATGAAAAAATTTCTATATCACTTCATTTCAATTCTATATCAAATCATATCCAAATTCCCCAGATATGTTATGTCGGGATCAAGGGTTTTATCCTAACGAATGATATAAGAGGCCGTTGGGTCAGACGTCTGAATGTTTTAGTTTGATTAAAAGTTTCGCGTCCAACACCATTTTCTGAACTTTCCATGCACCAGTGCTCACTTGGAATCCATAAAGCCCCTTCCCTTTTTCTTTTTCCACATCTAGACATTTCCGTATGCCGCTCGAACTGGACCCATGAATTTTCACGAATGTCCTTTGACCCATGCCTCACCCACCACTGCAGCTCGCATCTTTTACCCCGAAAATTCTTCTCGTTTGATAAACGAACCCCCGAGTCGGGAATTTTTCGTCTCCACTGCCACTTGGAGCGAAGTATCATACCCAAAGAGATGATTTATTTCTATCAAATAAATTTTATTCAATTTCATAAAACACGAGACGACGCGATAGCAAAAATAACTTTTCTGCAAAATCGAATATTCCCATCAACGGACCGCTGATTCGGCATATATTCTCCCCCAAAAAACAAGACATTATGACTCTCAACTTTTTGATTAAACAGACAAAAAGTTAAGACATAAAAGTCCAAAATGAGCCAAGCCGAAAGCCTGAATAATTGATCTGCTCCGATGAGGGATAGGAAAATGATGGGAAGGATGGGGTTTTCACGTAATCTGGTGGCATACATTATAGCAAAACCCTTAACGTACCACGTACCGTGGCTAACACCATCACTCGTTAACCGCATAGCGATTTCTGCATGTGAACCGATAAATCATCGGTGTCCCTCCCAATCAAGTAGAGGGGCCGAGGTATTTGAAGCTCCGTACGTGACGTTTATAGGCACATGAATAGGATGGTACTATTGGTCCTCTCACATGCTAACCCGTCATGCACCAGCGGGGGGTTAATTCCCGCGGATAATAGTGGGGGAATGTTAGAGGAAGGTATGTACTGGCAAATAACGTTAGGGATTAGTGCACGTAGGCAGCAGAGCGCAGGAGACGCCTAGCGTCATCCGTTTTCCGGTTGATCCCGACTAACGTCTTGGCCCACAGAAACCCAATTTGTTCGATGAAAACCGAAACGAGAGCATTAATCTCGTCTAGCCAGTTACCGCTACCGATTTTCCGTTTATTGAATTCCTCAGTGATTTAGGGTGGGGACTTTACAATCTCCTGACTCATTAATTGTCGTCATTTTCGAGAGGATTTTTCACTTATCAAAGGATTCATTGAGTTTATTTAATTGGTGGCGGGGGATCATATTCAATCCGTCTAGCCTCGATTTGCTGGATATAGACGAGGAGGAGACTGTGATCTTCAACCGTCTCAACTTTGGATCGGCAAACTTGGTGAACAGAGGAGGCAAGATTGCTCAGTTGTTGGGCTAGCGAGCACGTAGGTAGTAATTACTCGCTGCCAGAGGAATAGTCGGTATAACTCACCATTCCTCAGTCCTCCCCTCTCAACTCAACCCTAGCCACTCAGCCTTTAGACACCGAGCTGCTAAGATAAACATTCAGCTGTTTGTCTTTATCATCAAGACGAATAAACATCGCTTTATGGATTTAATTGAATTTTCACCCAGACTTGTCGATATTAACCACTCATTGGTAGCCGATAGAAAAATATAAAAATGGAAATAGCAATGGAATTTATCGAGTTGATGTGGATTATCGTTGATTTTTTTTTTCAGCCAAAAAACCAACGGTGAAGAATCACTTTCGTGCCCACCAATTATCGGTATGGCTCCGGCTAATACCAGAACTCCATCGTGCTGGAATGGAGGACGTTGAGCCCCGACACAATCTCTTTCGTAGCCATGGGGATCCCAATCTCTATGATGGCCTGGTGCGGCCTGATCCACTGAGTAGAATAGGGGAGGAATACAGAAGACGAAATTTCACGACAGAACCGCCGACAACTACGGATTACAGCATAACCACCTGTGTCAGCGTAATTCCCAGCACGAATCCACAGAATGTACATAATGCAAGCAGCCCGGATACTCTCTCGGGCTTGGAAGTGGCTGGGTAAAAGAAATTTTTTTGGTCCCTCCAAATATTACCACTGCTGAATATTTCAAATGAGGCTAAATAGGGGAGAATATTGTTAATTCAGATATGACGATGGAAGTTGTTTGCTTCCCAGTTAATCTCTAGAATGTTTAATTGAAATATGTGCCAACAGATACGCTGCCTATTCGACGGCTTTGAGTGTGACAATTGCCATCGGCTGCAGTCTTCTGATCCTAAATGTCCTTATATTCGCTGGTGTTTATTATCAGCGCGATAAAACGAGACTGGAGGTTAAAAGTCTCCAGCAACAGCAGATGATGAATCAACAGTGTGGCCCAAGGGGTTTTACCGAACTCAAGCAGCCACCACCGCCCCATTCTCACTTCACAAGTGGTGGCCAAGTTATTGTTGACGTCGAGAATGAAATGCTCAGGAGGTAAATAATCATTTCTAATTTATCCAGACACAATTGGTGGAAGATTAACGATAGCTATTTACAACAGCTGATGAATTATGCAACCTCGTCTTTCTATTTTAGAAACGTGATGAAGGCCAATGATCCGGGTATTCTCCAGAGCCAGAGCACTCATACACTGCCTCATCAGCATCACTATCAAAAGCAACAGCACACACCACATGCCACATTGCCTAGAGCATCTGTTATTCAGGATATGGGAATGCAATCCCAGGTAATTTTGTATTGAGAAATTATTGAAATGATGCATCAACGATTGTATGTAAATATATGAAATAAATAAATGAGTTTATGTATTTCACGATCGATTGAGTGATTTATTTCGAGGGATTACTGGTGTGAGAGAGAATGATGAGGGGCTTGAGGTTCAAGCAATTCTGAGATAATAATTGACAGTTGCCAAATGATGAAATGAGATCAGTCTATACTGACTTTTCTCGTTTTATCCAGTGGACATAATAGACGACAATTAATTGATGTTTGATTTTTAGTGTCCACCAAATGGTTCGATTCACTTAACAGTGCCACGAGCACCACCGCCACCGAGGACCAAAAGCCCACCTGAAAATCAACCCCTGCTGCAAAGTGGAAGCATTGTTAATCGCGTTACACAAGGCAGTATGACTGAAATGAGAGTGTGATGTATGGAGTCCCCTCCGAGACCAGTCGTACCCGATGTACTCACAGCATCGACATTGCTCTAAAGTAATCGCTATTGTAAACGTCACACACACCATTGGAAATTCTCGAGTGACGAGTTAAAGTGATAACTTTTCATGGTGAATTACGACGTTTACATCGACAGTAGGAGGGGACTCATAACAGCTGACGATCATAAATTATTTGATATTTATTTTTTCATGGTTATTGAGTGGATAAATCCATCATTATCATTCTGTTGAGCATAAGACTATCCGTCATCTATTATTTCCGACCACTGATATTGTTTATCTGAGGGAAAAACGAAGAAACTAGACTGACAAAAAATCAAAAAATCATTCATCTGATGTACTGGAATCAATTGAAGAATCAAACGATTAGGACAAATTAGCCACAATTTTTGTGATTAAGACGAGAGACAGTCGAGAGAAAAAACGAGAGAATCAAAATGAAAATTTTCAAATCAAACACGAGAATAACTGAATTTTCAACTAAAAACACTCGTAACTCGTAATAAAATAGGTAATAAAATAATAAATGGAAGAATTGAGTACGAGGCGTAACATGAGAATGTTTTTTAGGTGTTATACGATGTCACATGGCTCAAAACGAAGTAATGATGAATCACGACCCGTGTATAAATAATTTTTATGAATGACGATTAAATCATACGATGTTAGATGTTCCTTGTACATAATTAAGCATAAGAGTGAAGACTTTTTACAGTTAAAAATTTACAAAACGCGCAAATGGCGTTCGCTACTCGCTGCTGCGCATTTTTGTATTAATTTTTTACTTATCGTTTCCAGTGAATAATTCAGAATGGATAACCCAGAGGATATATTACGTTTAAATGTCCAAAATTTTAATAAAAAATAATAAAATAGTAGTGACCGTAAAATCATCACTGAAAAATTAAAATGAAAATTTCATTTGTGCTTACAAACAACTGGGATCACTCGTACAGACAATGAACATTAGCTTCTCGTTGTGTTTGGGGTAGGAAGAGTAACCCCTTCCCATTTCACTTCAGTTACAATCTGCAGATGGCAAACAGTCTCTCTACCTCTCTTTCTTGTTCAACACACCGACCTATTTTATTCTCCTGCGGTTAATGACTATTTAAGCTCAAGTAGTTTCATTCCACTTCACCTCTTACCTTCCCCCCCTTCCCTTTTTGCTCTTCCATCTTGTGGGAATTGTCTTGTACTAGTAGATGAACTTTGCCGCAACGATTTGTCCTTTTTCAAGGTAAAATGCTGGAGCACAAAAAGAAATTCCATCTGGAGAAGTTGAATTGACGAGAGAAGGGAGTTAACTATTTCCAAGATACCATGGATTCACCGTACGTGAAGAGAAAAAATTGTAAAAATTTTCGAATAATATTGTCTCCTAATTATAATTTTTAATTGAAAATAATTTTCGAATTATCAGCAAAATTGACTCAAATTGTTGGTTGAGCAAAGTGTTGTTCAAAATAATTAATTTGCCCTGGATCAGGGATTTTTACAAAGAATAAGAGAATCGACGTCAAAAGGAATAACTCAAATGTGTCTGTAAATAAATGAAAGTGCACCGACTGTACGAGAGAGGTGAATACAATAGAGAGCTCAAAAGAATAAAAAATAAATGGTTTGAAGTGAGTAGAGTAATAATTCCACTGCCACAAACTTTATTATTATTCATACTTAAAGTTAAAGTATTGCACAGAATAATGAAGGAATCGTACGGCTGTTGATTGCAATGAGAAATTTTAACAATTACGCAAAAGACTTAAGTGTGAGATATTTCTAGTTGTAAATAAAAGTTGAACGTTATGGTATGAATACGAGATTAAATATCCTAATTCATTTGACTCATTTTATGTTCTCAAGAGCTATATAATTCAATTGTACTATTATTTGAAAATTCCCCATTGATGGATGTGTGTGAATTTAAGATATCATTATAAATATGGACAATCCGAACAATTGTGAATAGGAATGTGAGAGGTAGAAGTAATAATTCGTTCCAATGGGCTCTAGGTCGTTTTATATTACGATAATTCGTGACGAGTATGCGCCTTTTGACGTCGATAAAATGAAATAATGATAATGAATTTAATACCATTATTAATACCAATGAGAGATGAAAATGAATAAGATAATACGATTCTAGAAGGCCAGATTTCAACGTCAAATCCGTCGTCGCCCATTTTCGGCCGATACCGAGGGCTTCAACGTGTTACGTTTCACCATTTTGTTGTCAAATTGTAAATACATAACGAAATATATATGGAACTATTAACTGTAATATTGTCATTCATTATCTCAATAATTTGTTGGGATTTAAAAAAAAAAACAAAAAACGAGGAACAAATACAGTATAACAATTTATTAATGTTCAGTACCTACAGAAACCTTTAATGACTAAATAACAGTTTCGCCATGATCCAAAGTAAAGCATCATTCAAGCGCCATTGTCTCGAAGATCTCCAACGCAAGGTAAGGATAGTCCGCCGCCATTTTGTTGTAGCCGTCTGTCTGCATAACAGCTTTAATGTGAACCTCAATAAAGTGAATAATGGTCTGCTTGACGTCTTTCAATTCGAATCGATCAGCAATTACTAATCTCTCAGCGGCGTTATCAGCAGTTAGATCTTGCACCAAGGCTTGAGCCATCAACATCACGAGTCCTTTCAAATCATATTTCTGAGCGGCATACAGCAAGTCGATTATTTCACAATCGGGCCTGCTAATTCGATCAGTATAAATAAAGCGTAACACATCTTCAACGACTTCTTCAGTCATATCCGTCACATCTACGTTGCCTTCCTCAAGCTCCTTCATATCATTATCAAACATCGCGGCAAATACGGAGCTGCGAGCAGCGACAATAGCTTTGAGAATGAAAAATTTTCTATGACCAACAGTGATCGTCGCATCAGCGTAGTCCGGATTGTCCAAAATCATCTCCATGTCCTCTCTCAAGGTGTTCCCCATCGGTAGGACTGGCAATTGATCCAGGCGTTGCGTCAATATATCAGTCGTGATGTTGAAGACAAACAAGAGAGTCAACGAATCATTCGGCAGTAGAGATTTCTCCTGGACGATTTTTTCGTTGAAAGGTATAATATAATGTACCTGGGATTTTATCACCTGCCGCTTTGGTATGTACTTGGAACCATTCGAATCTAGAATGCAAACTTCAATATGGCTTTGCAATGCATTCTTCTTCATTCCCACATGAACATCCAACTCCAGATTCTCAACATCGACGATATCCTCTACTACCGAGCCGCTTCCATTTACACCACACATATCCAAAAAGCCGCGCATGGAACTGCCGGGTATAGTATAATCACAATTGAGGCTTTTTGGATCTCTAATCATCACGGAGAAGTCGCGGATTATCCACTTGAAGGTGTGAGTCATTACTTCTGCTTTCGTTTCATATACTTCACAAAAATCAGGAGTGGAAGACGCCATTTTGAATGATGCGAGACTTGATTGAAAAATGGCGATTGATCTGTAACAAAATTTTGAGATTAATAATTGACATCTTCAAAGTACATGAAAATGAAGTGATGAATTAATAAAAATTATCTATATATCACTTCAGTTTAAAATATTTTAATATTTTAATATTTGTAAAAAAAAACTTACTAGGGATGGATACGGCCACGAAGTCTTTCACGAATTATTTCGGGTAGAATAATGATACAGCTTTATGAAACCGGTAATGTTACTCGGAGTTTAGACAGTACAGGACTACCTCGGATCAGGAAAAATTACTCTAGGTCCCGAAGTGAAGGATTTGGGGTGGACCGAGTGGGGGTAAGGACAGGGGTAAAATTACTGGAGGGGGAGATGGTTAATTGGGTGACTCCGACACGTGTCGACCACCGGCGTATGATTCTCAAAAATGTCGGCAATGAATGGGTCATTAAATGTCTTCGAGGAAAGGTATTCAAAGGGTATGAATACACAATGAAAAAATATACCTGCTATTTTTCCTTTGCACTTTTACTGACAATCATTGAACTCATCCCAAACTGACCCAGAAAAATCCCTCTCAATTGACTTGGCATCCTCGTCGAGAGGGCTGGCCCCAATTTCCAACTTGTCATTGATATCCAAATAGTTTTCCGGGGCCTTTGGCCATGTAATATTCAAGATAGGATCTGATTTTCCGTCCGGGGTTGGATTTCTGGAATTATGACAGCCGTTTGGCGATTGGATTCAATAGAACAGCAGGTACCCCATAAATTTTCACGGACAAAAGAAATTTAACAGCATTTATACCCATATTTTGCGAAATTGGTGAACATTCGCACCATTCGCTTTCTTGCCTTTGAGAAGGGATGCTCAGGCTCCAACGGTAAATTGTAGATAGGTACGTGGAAAATGGTTAATATATCGTCTCCGTGGCCGGCACCTCACCAAAAAGAAATATTTTAAACCAGTGAATATATTTTTTAATTGATGGTTTTCCTATGATGTATACTTACCGTTCAAACTCGGAATAACATGCGCATTTAATCGACGGTATGAATATTCTCCCGGATCATATGAATTCTGGTAATAATAAACTGGAGCTGTCGACATTTCAGCGACCAATTTTTGTTTTTGATTGATCACGGGTTTGTACAGGGTGTTCGTAATATTCTGATAATTAAAAAATGGCAATTATGCATTTTTATTCGTCAAGCTGAATTAACCCTTGAGTATTTCCTCAAACTCACGTTTATCGCTTGCATTAATAATTCAACTGGCACTTCTGACAGATTTTTGTGCAGCACCTTCGACAATTCGTCGTGAAGATGCGCTAATTTTTCCTGCACCGGATGTCGACGACCATTGAACTGCTTCAAAGCAAGTTCAATGTACCAAAATAAATTTTGCGTACCTAACGAATGAAAAACGGAAAAATATGCAAAAGATTTATGTTAAATGAGTAATTAACTAAAGTTGTTACTCGTAGTGAAATAGAGAATTTCATTCCGCGTATAGCCAGTCATATAGGGAGCTTTGGCAATTTGTCCAGTTTTATATTTCCTGATCGGACATTCCGTAGAGAAACTATCGGCACCCGCCACTCTAACATCTTCAATTACCGGTTTAAATTTGCGATCCGCCTGAGAATCAATAAATAATTATCAAAACCTGACAAATTTCTGCGATGAGTTAATGTGTTTTCAGTAAATAATTTACGTGTATCAAATTATCAATCAATTTTTCCCCTCCAGTGATTAATTCGAATGATGTTTTTTTCATAAGTTCACGATAAAGAATAGTTTTATCCGCGGTATCAATTCCTAGAATTTTTCCTAAACGAAAAGCTCGAGTTTCAGTTTGATTTCGAGATGAGAATGTCCAGGCACTCCAGGGAGCAGCGCTCATTGCAATGGCTCCATGAAATAATCCTGAAATAACGAGAAGCTTTGACTCAGAAAATAATTAATTACTAGACCAATTTCAATACCTCTGGAGACCCCTGAAATCATGTGCAAATCAACAGCAACGCCACCAGAACTCCAACCAAATATCGTAACTCTGTTGGGATCACCACCGAATTTATCAATATTCCGTTGAACCCATCTGAGCACCAGAACTTGATCCTTGAGTTGAATATTTTCTGGCGCTTCCGGAATATTTAGAGCTAGGAGACCTCAAAAGATATTCGAAGTGTCAAAAATACCTTCTCAAAGCGAAATAAAGAAGCCCTATTGTTTCACTCTACCTAATACATCTAGACGAAAATTGGCGGCCACCATGACAACACCTTCTTCGAGAATAAAATCAGGACCATACAGTGAAGCATTAGAAGACCCTGTCGCAAACTTGCCGCCGTGAATCCACACCATTACAGGTAAAAGATCGTCTGAGAAGTCCTCACCGAAATTAGTCTGTCACAATAACCACCTGTTTGGTATTTTTTATGAAGAATATATGAGACGAAATAGAAAATAAAAAACCTTGGGTGTGTAGACGTTGAGGTACAAGCAGTCTTCATGACCACCGAAGGTATTAGTAATAGGATCTAACTGAGGGCATTCATTACCCTCTGCTGTTGCTTTAAGAACATCTTCCCAAGGCTCAACGTCTTCAGCAGGCTGAGATAAATGTAAAGATGAAGAATAAATTCAAAAATCATTCTTACATGAGTCAATGATATATAATCACCCAAAATCGAAGCTCATTGATGGGTGGTTTGGCATAAGGTATTCCTTTGAAGGAACCATAAGCAATCGAATCAACAATTGTCTCTAAGATTTCCCCTACAACAGGTCCTCGATCCGTTTCAACAATTCCAGTCGATCTACATTCAACTTGATCCACAGAAAATAAGATAAAAATCAATGGCAGACCTAGGCAAATGATTTTATCGAGGAGAGTCATTTTTTCAGATGACTACTCTCAACTGGAAAGTACTGATTCAAAAAACTATAACTTCCTCCGAATTTTATTAAAAAATAATGTCAGCGTCGATTAATACTGTCGACTTCTGAATTTCTTTCGGGTGACTACTGCGAATAACTTTGCCGTTTTTTGAGATTTCAAGCTTATCATTCACACAAGCGCTAATCATCGCGATAATTATTTTCGACGGGCCATAACCGCGATAACCTGATAGATAATTACATTTATGAAGACACCGTAAGAACATCAATGACGAATTTACCATTCAACGTAATCAATCACTTGAGACATCGCCTGAGAGTTTTGAAACCGCTATAATCGCAAGGCATGGATAACATTGATTAATTAAAATTCAAAATTCTTTATTAAGAACTATCTGCCATCTCTCGGTGATGTCTCAAACTCTCTTTCAATCCACCATATTTCATTCTACCCGCGCGCACTCACACCCACGTTATTTGGACTAATTTGGAGATGGTGTAGAGCACGAACGTTTTTTTTATCGGTCCCGGTGATACATTTCAAGTGCATGTTGACAGATTATACTGACAAATTCACTCAAACGAAGTAGTGCATCAACTGATCCACGATAAAAGCATTAAAAATGCCTAAATTCCACAAGATCGAGATCAACAAGACTGAATGGGAGGTGCCAGAAAGATATCAGATGCTGGCACCAGTGGGTTCAGGAGCCTATGGACAAGTTTGGTAATAATAATTAAAAATCCTCACTCGCATTGACGCGCTCCCTATTTTATGAATTAATTCGTAACACAATAGTCCATTAATCTAATAAAATAATGGCTCCACATGGGAATACCATTTTTATTATTGATCACGCAACAATCGAAAGACCTTGACACTCTCTTACACTTGTAATAGTCAAGTGGTTGTCTATTCTCAGCGTTCCATTCGATTCGATACAATCCAACTAACCCGATTGACCCTGCAATGAATAAAAACAATGGGGAAAAAAAAGACGAATGTGAGGAAGGAGCAGAGTGAAATTGCACACGACTTTTTTTGCAATCATACTCTAACGTCTCACCTAGGAGTTTTTCTCAGGCTTTATTGTCGTTATCTATCTTCTTTGAGTTTTGAAATCCCATTGGAGACGTTCCAATTCACCTGTGCCATCTATTATTATTATTATTTAAAGCAATTAACATTCTACAAATGTTATAGATCTTCAAACTGTACAAAAGTAAATTATTTGAAGAATAGAAGCTGGAAATTCCAATTTGACAATCTCAATTCAAGTAATTGGGTTTAATTTTCCAGTTCTGCTGTTGATCAAACGACAAATCAGAAAGTCGCAATAAAGAAGTTAGCCCGACCATTTCAATCAGCGGTTCACGCTAAAAGAACATACAGAGAGTTGCGTATGCTGAAGCACATGAACCACGAAAATGTAAGAATTAATGATAGAAGGATAAGACGTCGAGAAATGAGAATTATGAGAAAAATCCAAGAGCAAATATCATTTGCAGGTAATCGGTCTACTAGACGTGTTTCACCCCGCCTCCAGTCTTGAAGACTTTCAGCAGCTATATCTGGTGACCCATCTGATGGGAGCAGACCTCAACAATATCGTGAGAACACAGAAATTGTCCGATGATCATGTACAATTCCTGGTTTATCAGATTCTAAGAGGATTGAAATACATTCACTCTGCTGGAATCATTCACAGGGTATCTATCCTCTGAATAATACTCAAACAATGATTTGTACACCCCAAAGGACAGAAGACATTTCCCGAACAATTGAACAATTTTTCAGGACCTGAAACCATCAAATATAGCAGTGAATGAAGACTGCGAACTGAAAATCCTTGATTTTGGACTAGCGAGACCAACTGAGAACGAAATGACTGGTTATGTAGCGACCAGGTGGTACAGAGCCCCCGAGATTATGCTCAATTGGATGCATTACAATCAGACAGGTCTGATTGGACTGATAAAACTATTTGTCGTTGATTTTATCTATTGAAAAAATTTTCCCGCGTTGGATCAAGAGATATTGAAGATATAATTATCGTAGAAAAGCGTCATTTATCTGAAAGTCGGATTTAACTACCGGAACTTGACACTTGAATTATTGAAATCAATCATTGTTTACCCTTTAATTAATATCCTACATATTTATTGTTATTCCTAGTTGATATTTGGTCGGTCGGCTGCATAATGGCAGAGCTGTTGACTGGAAGGACCCTGTTCCCTGGCACTGATCGTATCCTTTTATCATTCAATCGTATTTAAAATCCTATTTTCACAACCTGCACTGTTTCAATGTATTTAATCTATGATTAATCATGCAATTGTCAATTGCTGCATTACTAATTGTTTGCAACACTCACGTGTCATCGAAATCTCATACATTCGCTTATTGCTAAGGATCTACGCTTTCTTGCTATCAAAATTTAAACTGACCCAAATTAATGTGATGATAAGGGAAAAAAAAGCTTTGGTCTTGCTTTCATACTACTTTCGAGCTGTCGAAACGCTTTGCTATTACATATCGTCAGAGTAAATAGATTGCAATTTCTGGAGAATCCTCCAGCGAATTATTAAATCCAGAGTGATAAAAAAGGCAAGATAAATATTCAAGTATTGAATTAAGGAGAGAATTGTTGTGGAGCCTTAGCAAGAGCAGATATTCATCAACTCAACCTCATTATGGAAGTTCTGGGCACTCCTCGAGACGAGTTCATGACGAAAATATCATCAGAGTCGGTAAGTGAGCTTGTGTTTATCAGAAGTAAAGCTCAACATCCTCCAAAGTTCATTAACAAAAATAAAGATACAAACGAGTATAATTTCTCCCCACCTGCTCATTATCTCCTTCAACTAATTTTATCCATTCCCATCACGAAACAGCACTCATTTTTCCTATCTATATTATCGTTTGTGCGCTAAAACAATTGACAAGCATTGGCACAAAATGCTTAATTGGCCAGAGCATGCGACAACTGGACTATTAATTCTGGGTGCAGCACGCATGTTTCAACTTCTCAATTTTTCCCTCACTTGGAAAATCCATTCCCTCTGTATCTATGAATGCATCAAAATTTTTAACAATTGGCAATTAGAATGATGTTAATGAGTGAAATTCGCGTTTATTGAGCGCATAAAGAGAGAAGCCTTAACCCATGTGCAGACATTGACCATCTAACACGAGTTCTTGTACTGTGTGGAACACCCACAGAAGATACTCTAAGCAAAATAACAAGTCAAGAGGTAAATCGGTATTATTAAAAAATCAGTGCACAAGTTTTTGTCTCAATACTCATTTCATTTCAATTATTCCAACGTTCCCGAAGGCAATGAAGAAGAAACGAATGATCGAATAGATCGGAGTCTACACAGCTTTTGTATAAAATTTAAAATAGCTTAACTACCGTCATTGTAATTTATTGCAGGCTAGGAATTATATAGAGAGTTTACCCCCCCTCAAGAAGAAAAATTTCAAGGACGTCTTCCGCGGAGCAAATCCCCTAGGTAATAATCCAATTAATGAAAATGAGAAAGAGGACACGTTAAATTGAATTTTAATGTTCTAGCTATTGATCTTTTGGAATTGATGCTAGAGTTGGATTCAGAGAAAAGAATAACAGCTGAACAGGCACTGGCTCATCCGTATCTAGTGCAATATGCCGACCCGACTGATGAGCCAGTGTCTCTTCCCTACGACCAGAGCTTTGAGGACATGGACCTTCCAGTGGAAAAATGGAAGGAATTAATCTACCACGAGGTCGTTAATTTTGTACCTCAACAGCTTCCCTCCACCTCCTCATCCGGCGAGGCGCCATAATTATAATTCACATAATTTGCATGATCAATTGATGATGGGTAATACCGGTGGCCTAATCATAAGCAGCGTAAGATAATAATTAAGATTATTCTATTTAAAATCGAAATGTACAAACTAACATTTAGTGTACATATATTAGACGTCATTTTTTAGAAATGATTGTATGATTCAACTCTACTTCGATTAATTTTTTTTGTTCTTTCTGGATTTAATACAGAGTATATATTTTTTATTCGAATTTTGAGATGGTAAAACCGCGTCGGAAGTGCATCGAATGGATAAAATGAGTGATTGCGGAGAGAGGCAAGATGAGAAGAATAAAAAATTATTTTGATTTTTTTTTCTAGTGAAATCTTTCCCATTTCCAATAATTACTTTGATAATAAGCTCATCTTCATATCCTACTCTTAATTGATTAATATAAATATTATTGTGTACTGTGTACACTCCAAACACTGGCCCATTAACCGATCTAGTCGATTAAGGCAACTATCAGGCATAATCTGTGCCCTACGTGCCACAGAGTTCCGTAGATTCCACAAAACTTCACATTTTTTTTTTTAATAATTTCCTGATTGGATACGAAATCGATTTAATTAAGTGAAAATCCACAGGGTGAGATTTGTATTTTCTTTCTCAAAGTTTAATTTTTTTAATGAAGATTTAAAAAAGGAGAATGTTCCTCTGCTGTATGAATTTTTATTAAAAATAATTCATTGTTATCCTAGCGATTCATAATATTCTTTTTATGATCAGCATTATACTGTTGGTTTATCATTTTTTTTTTGATCTGTTTAATATGCGATTGAAGGAGATGTCAGGGTATGAAAAACTCATTTGTAAGAATTACGGTTGAAACTCAAATTTTATGTAATCGATCACTGTTAATTTTCCTCCGAAATATATATGATCTCAAAAATCACTGTGTTTCATTATTTCTAATCCCCCTGAAAAAATCGAAAGTTAATCCGAAAAAAAATGATATTCACGAAGCCCAAGTATTTTTTTTAATGAAATATTGCGTCGAATATTTCAATTAGAAAAAAAAATCATTTGAGAGTGAATCAATTGCGAAATGGTCATATTGTCAGGATGGCCGAGCGGTCTAAGGCGCCAGACTCAAGGTAATACCTTCTCAGTCATTGCTGAGTTAAACAGATGGGGCTTCTGGTCCTCTCTGAGGGCGTGGGTTCGAATCCCACTTCTGACAATTTTTTTTTTCTCCTTTTTTTCCCTCAATTCCTCCCTAAAACAAATCACTTACACCCCATCACGAATGACACACCATAATCAAAAACTAACTAGCACAAATGAATACCACCAGATGACGTCATTGCATATCTTTATTCATCCATAGCCTCGTATAAAATCTGTGCTATATTCACCTACTCTATTACAATAAACGAAATATAAACGATAAGTTGTGTAAATGTATTTGATACAATACAACATTAATTTCATTAATCGAACACTTTGTGTGTATCTGGTAGACTTTAACATATTTCAATGTTAATAAATCTATCGCTAAGTTTATGGTAAGATAGCTCCGTGACGTGGTGGTCATATATATTACAAAAATCGGTGTAAAATTATTAAAAAAGTGTCTTTACATTTAATTTATATGATTCAGTGAACATTTGATTCTTCGATTGCCCTTAAACTACAATTAATGATGACGTTTGTACGAAATGATCGACTAAGTTGCTTAACTAATTGGTCGTTTTCAATGAATCCCTCGAAGAACATTCTCTCAATGTCTCTAAATATATATTCATTAACAATATAATACAATAATTATTAAAATTAGTTGTACGTGCCAATGGTCGTTGCATTAATGGACGGATATGTGATGTAGAAACGTGGACTTACTCGAGAGTACGTTGAATCGTGATGATTAATTTGCCACCAGCAGCTTATCATTAATTTCGTCGTTAAATAAAATGGTAGGATCGTTTTGATCTTCTTTGGAACTTCTGTTCAGTTGGGATTTGTTCGCTCATTTCAAAAGCCCAGTGAAGATACGTTGCGTTAAAACTCATCACTGCATAATTATTTACTCGCTTTCTCCCTTCGTCATTCATGAACTCGTCCATGAGATCAGTGTGATTGTATTTTTTTTAATAAAAAAATCACAAACGTGTGTTAGTGAAAGGCACTTAAAAAAGTGTAAATTTTCTAGAGAAAATGTATTGAATTGCAATAAATTTTTTCTGGCTCTGAATTTTATACAGCTGTTTGAGGTATTCCCTGCACGACCTGCGTCCTGGTTTTACCTTTGGTCAAGGTTGATTGGCTCGATGATTTACCGAGCCTTGGCTGGCCATTTGGCGAGCTGGTAACAAAGCCCTCACTCCTCATATCCTTCAGAGATACATTGGAATTACTTCTCAATGAAGGCGTTGAACTGAACTTGCGATTTTGAGCTAAACGCTCTTGTAATTTAGCCTCATTCTGTCGCGGCATTCTTGATTTTAACGTTGGTGTATCGCGATATTCGTAGAGATTGTCTTTCGATGCATGAGTTATATTCTCGACTCCTTCCGAGTAGTCGTCGTCTCTGACCATCAGGATATCTCCGCTATAGTAGTGATCGGACTGCCTATTTCATCAAAACAATGCAAGCTATTAAAATCCAATGGCAATCCATAAACGCCTCATCCTATATTCTTTGTGATAATACAACAACCGAATAAAGCAATATTCAATGGTGCATCAACTGAAATAATGCATAAGTGCAATTTTACGATTCCCTCTTACTTTCCATCTCAGCTGTATATTTCCTAGCAGCTCGCAATTTGCTGTTACGAGGCATTTACAAAATAAATGATAATGTTAGTTAAAATGAATGAACAGTGAAAATACACCAGAACCTCCATACACATGCACTACCAAAATCCCAGTGTCAGGTCTGTAGTCACATGGTTTTGGTTCTGATTTACCTTGCTTACCTTTTGGCATTGCGCCACAGCATACAACAGACAACAGACAGAACGATCAACAATAAACAAGCTGTTGACATCGACCAGAATGCAATCTGCAGTGGTTGTTTGGGCTCCCACCAGTACTCAGTGACTGGTGGATATGTAGGCACCAATCTACCAATAACTGTCGGAAGATACTGCGACCAAAAGGCACTCTCCGTCTGTCGATAATTAAACAGTACCGAGCTGTTGTACGTTGTATTAATATTCAAATACTTGAGATATCCGAGTTTAGCCTCTTCAAAGTGAAGGCCCAGTATCTGAGCTGGCGTTGGATTGCCATAAGTTGCAAAATTTGCATAAGACTTCATAAAGAAGAGACTCATATTACGATCATTGTCCGTCCATGATTCACGATTAATCTTCCACTTGTCCGGAAAGAACTCTATAAAATTCAAATTAATGGTCCATCAATCTCGTCACATTTTATAATGTTTAATTTGTGGTAATGAGCACCTTTATCCATGAATGGGGCTCCTGTTAGCCACAGATGTTCAATATCGTGAGGCACGCGACGCCATTGTTCCAGATTGAGTGCCTCAATAGTTGTATTCAAAACGTACAAAAAAACTGGTACTTTACGTTCAACCAGTAGTTTTGCCATTTTATCGGATGGTGCGACGTACAGAAAATCCGAGAGCAACTGAAATTATCGATAATTCATTTTTTAATTATACCAGCGTATGAGGCACGCTATGCGTGTCTAAGCATGATGGAATAAAATCATCAGAGATAGTAGAGAGAGTTTTTCAAATGCCTATAAGCTAAATTTTTTTCAATCAATATACATACGTTTACGTATTGTTCACGAATCAACGTGACATTCGTAGGATCCGGCCAGTATGTATACATATACTTAATAGCCTCATAAACTCCATAAGGATTCAGGGTATAATTGTACCTCAGAACAAGCTCCCAAATTTTCTGATCAAACATATCAGCATTGAACAAATATCCTCCACGTGCCAACGTATCATTATTGAATAAAATATTGGAAGCCTCTTGCATGGTAACTCCAGCCATGTATGCTATATCTTTCCGATATTTTTTCTGTTTAATGCTCTCTTCAGGCGTTTCAGTAAAAAAATGCCAATCAGAGGCTCTGTAATTGTCGTCGTAATTATCCCTTAGCACAGTGAAATTTTGATCCAACACCGGTGCCCACGGCAACATACCAACCTGGGGCTGGAGATTGGAATTACCCAAATCGTACGAGCTACGACCCCAAGTCAAACACTGAACTATGGTGTAACTGCTCTCAATACTACACCCCATTTTCTCAGCGTATACTCGCGACGTGTTCTGAGCTCGATATTTATCGACAATCAGAGCCCAATCCGCGAGGGCTGAGCCCGATTGAGCAATCACTTTCGAGACCATATGTCTTGTTCTAGATAAAAAAAGAATTAATTATCAATCAGATCAATTACTGACTTATCTAAATCTATTTGTCTAGAGAACTTGCCTAGGAGCAACCATCAACAATCCAGCACTGGCAGCTCCAGCTCCAGGCCCAAACAATGTAATAGCCTCTGGATCACCCTTAAAGGCTTTAATATTCTCATAAACCCACTGAAGTGCAGCTGCCTGATCAAATATCCCGTAATTTCCTGGGCTATTTTCATCTCCAGTGCTCAAAAATCCTAGAGCTCCTAACCGATAATTTATGGATACAACAACAACATTATGGAATGCAGCAAGCATGTGTCCAGGGAACAAGTTGCTGGCACCATGAATGTAATCACCACCGTGGATGTAAAACATCACTGGGTAGAGTTTGGCGACATTGGACTCAACAGAGGGTGTAAAGATATTCAAGTAAAGACAATCCTCATCGACATCACGAATGCCCTTTGTTGCTCCAGTATAATTAGCTGGCTGAGGGCATGCTGGACCCCAGTCAACAGCTTGCACTAGCTCCCATCTAGCCGGAGGACGAGGTGGCTTGAACCTCTTCTGCTTGGTCGGGGGCTCAGCATACGGTATCCCCAGGAAAACATTTGCATGACCCGTCACTCGCTCCACCGGTAGATTCCAGGGTCGATGACGCGCCTCAGGGTGGTCATAAAGATAAACCTTGAAACCCTGAACCTGACCGTAATGGGTATTAACAAATACATCTCGATCTATTTCTAATCTCTTCGAGTCTGCACGTTGTCGACCCTGAAGGTCCTCACGCCATCCTCCGAGGATGCCTGGTAGATTTGGATACCTTGGTCCATCCTGGGTTCAATTAAAATCACAGAATTGAATTTTTTTATACGAAACACCACCTCCCACTTGGTCGTTGTAATTAAGTTATTAACTGACGCGAGGAAACTATGAATCATCAACCGTTAATTTCCGGAGTATTTCAACAATTTCCCGACTGATTCATTCAAGAATGAGTTATCAAAATAAAAATCCGATTCTCCAGTAATTCATACTGTTGATAAGTGATAAAAACATCACGTAGAAATTATTTGATTGAGTCGAATGAACTAAATGCCTCAATTTCAAACCACCTGAGTTCACGAAAAAGACCCTTAGAGGAAATCTATGAAATGCAAAAAAAAAATTATTGAAAAAATCCAGGAGTAAAAACAAATATTCCCATCGAACAAAAGAATGAAGAATCCACGGTGCCATCACCCAACAATTATTGCATACCGTAACTGCACGATATTTCCCAAAGCTCTCACTTTCGTGCCGTGAAAGGTGTCGTAAACAAACCCAGCGACCAGTAAATGTCGAGTCCAATAACGCCCAAAACTTTTTTTTCTCTACCTGTCATCCCCTGCTTTTCCCCAATTGAGCCATAAAGATAATTCCAAGAAGAAAAAAAAAATGCTCACTTCAGGTCGATATCTGTCCTCAGGTGCACGCGTGGGTCCCATATATATGGGATCCAGGTAACTGGGCTGATAGCCATACATTCGATTTTTGTAGACGTAGGTGTGACGTTCAGGTGCTCCCGCTGGCACAAAAACCCCATCTCTACCATAAGAACGTCCACCATTGTACGGATCATTGTTCTGCGTATGCACCGCGATTATTGGGCAGAGGATTAACAAAAGTTTGAATAATTTTTTATATGAAAGTGACACATAGGTATCCATTTTGCCGCGAACGGCAAGACACTGAATGAAAATTGACTCAGCGTACTCCACGACTTACGATCAGTGAAATTTCCCCCACCCAAACCAAGTTTATCGACCACACCTTTCGGTAAACAGGTAAAGAGCCGTTGGATGGCGCTTCTTGCACGATTTCGTAATGTTTCAATAAAAAAATCGGCGAATTTTTATTTTTTCGCTACTATTAATTCAATTTCTCAATAACTCCATTTCCATCGGAAGGATTCGAATTTTATTTTTATTATTTTGGGATGCTCATTAAAATTCTACTATTTAACTCTTTTAGGCTGTGTTTAATTTTTTTGTTTGGATGTGGAAAATGAGGTCAGTCGGGCCCAAAAATCCTATATTATGAGGCAGCCACGCGCGAGGACACGTGGCGATTTTTTCATCAAAACTCAATTTTTCCGTCAAACAACCATCCCACCCTAATCCTGTGCCAACAATCTAGAAACCAATAGTGAGCTTTGATTATCATGGGACGAACATAAATTTTTATTCGAAAAAAAAAAAATGTCGATTCACTCCCGATTTGCTCCATTTTCACAACTTTATTAATAAATTTTATTGCCCTACCAGAACTTTCTAATAAATTTTTTTAAGTATGAGGTAATTGAGTGCGATGTAGAATTTATATTTTGCTCTCTTCTGAACGATCACTTGATGAAATACTGAGAGTGGGGGATGTTAATTAATTGAATAAACGAGTTCATTGCTGGCATGCGAGAGGAGAGAAAGACTCACTGTCACGAGTCGCCCACAAGTCAATGAATCATGCGTGTGTGAGTTTCATTAAACGTTTTTTTACTCAAGTTTTTGCTGCACTAGGGGATCTAATGAGCCATGATGGAACAAAGCTAAGCCGCAGCAGAAAGGTTCTCCATTTTTTTAAGAATGATCATTGAAGTTGATTATTATTAATTAATTTACGTCCAGAGATTAATATTCATTAATTATTACCATCCCTTCTCCCCAACGTATTATTTTTTCTACTGAAGATGAAAGAAAAAAAAATTGCTCCAATTCACAATTTCAAATCATTATGGATGCGATCCTTCGTGCAGCACCTGGTTTTTCAATACATCCTCTCAAGGTCTTTTTCTACCAGAAACTACCGATTTCTTTCTTGTTCACTGACAAAAATCGACTACCAGCTGGTAAACCGCAAGAACCATTTCCATCAAAATAATTACAAATCCTGAAGTTAGGAATTTTTCCTGGGAGTAACAGATGTTTTGTCTCTGTACATCGATGAAGTCTTCACCGTGAAAAAATGGCGATTCCAAGATTCACTAGGATTGAGGAGTGGTTAAATTTGGGGAGAATCCCCCGAGGAAGTGGTTGCTCTGGTGGTGGGGGCGTTCTGTCGGCTGAGCACTGGTGCCCACTTGTTCCCTAGTCTCTCGTACCCTCCCTCTTCCAACATTTCCTCGTCATTCGAACGCGTGTACCCGAACCGCCAACATCGCCCCTAACAAATTATCCTCGACAAATTCTCCGTGAAAAAAAAAAAAATACCACTGATTCGCGCTGGAATCAAAACAATTCCGCCAAAAAATTCAACCACTAAAAATAAATAATCCAACATTGATGGATAAAATCGCTCAACCCAAATCAAATTCAAACGATTGTGCAAGCGATTGAGGCCACAACTTGTGCGCTTCAATTAATCCTCATAATTCCTAATGAAAGCCATTTAAACAAATCAACCAAGTGCTAGTGTACGTAAAGATTGAGACGAGAAAGACGAGTATTGTGAGAGAATAACAAAGGGTGAAACAATGCGCTGATGAAAAAGAGCAACCGGAAGTGCAAAAACCATTGTTATATTTTGACGTTAGTGCTGACACGTTCGCACCCTTCTGTACCTTTTAAATAAATAAGAGAAATGGCGACGGAAATATCGAGAGATGTTGATGCACATATTGTCGAACTATTGTCTAAACTTGCCACCCTGAGGGATGCACCCAAGGAGAGACAAGACACCAGAAGACCCTCCATGTCCAAGGAGTTCAGAAGTCTTGATTTTTGGCGTGCCGTAGCTATCGAGTGTTTAGCAACATTTATGTTTTGCCTTGTTTCACTGGGAGCTGGTGCTGCTGTCATTGTCCATGGCAGCGGATTATTGGTCCTAGCTACTTGTCTCGGCACTGGATGCTCCATTGCAGCGATCTGGACCATTTTTGGACATATCAGTGGTGAGTTAATTATCTTCATCCATTTGTCATCCATTTCCATTATCAATTTCCATTTTTATGATGAAGTCAGTTGATTTAATTGATTTTTTAATGGAAAATTGACTGACTCTTCGGCACTACATCGAAAGAATTTCCATCAATGTACGTGGAGTCACAATTTCGCTGTGCAAATTGATTAATTATAATCAATTGAACAATTGGATTTTTTCCTAGGTGGACATGTCAATCCTGCAGTCTCCATAGCATTCGCATTTTCAAGAAAAATATCACCATTTCGTGCATCTCTGTACGTAGCAGCCCAATGCGGTGGTGGAATTGCTGGTGCAGCTATGCTCTACGGGTAAGTTTAAAATAAACCACTGCCATCATCTCTCCAACCACAGAACGACTCAAATTACCATAAAAAAGACACAATTTCCAAGACTACCGATCCAAACAATAATAGAAAACCCCAAACAACACCGAGATGAATTCCTTGCCAATAAAATTAATTGAATCCTCTATTCCCACTACATCAAAGCTACACCAGCCGTACAAAACAATTTAATTAGCCCAAAGATTAGCTCCGGATAACGAGAGCCAGGATAATTTTCTCAAAAAAAAAAACCTGATAAATTAAGGCAGGGAAAGTTTAAAGAGGCAGAGAGGAGGGGGGCAAGATAATTGCCATAGGTATAAAATTCAGAGTTGAATTGACGTTGTGTTGGTCGAGCACCTGCCGTTTTCGTTGGTAACATATAGGAGAGAGCCGAAAGGGAGGCAAGCAAAAGGAAGAACCACCAACGCGGACGTGAATTTCTCCAAGACATGGAACAGCTGCCGCAGATGTTTTACGAATGGACCAAAAGCCAGAGCCGGTCAGAAAAATGGGAGGGGATCGGTGGTGATCGGTCAGGGGGGGGAAAAGGGCCCATCAGAGATAATGAATACCTGTGCGTATACGCGTTAAGGTGTATAAGTGTGTGTGCGCGTGCCTCACAAGAAAACCCCACAGGCAATACTCAGCAGCTGTTTCTTGTACCACCTTCATATCTCCTTTCTTTATCATTCATATTTTTTTTTCTTTGGGGATCTTCTGGATGACAGACGGCTCATTGTACATCTTCATGTGGCAATCGATTTATGGTTCAATGAAATTTTTCTACAATTTTAATGATACTACCGGGATGGAATATTGAATTGTTATTTAACTGTCGTTGAGTCATTATTGAATGATCGAGAGTAACAAATTGGCAGAAAAATAATAGTAGACTTTTTTTACGGTTTTAAAATACTTGAGACTCGTTTTGTGGAAAAGAATGGCGAATCTTGTTCTCATCCATATGCCGTACCCCCACGGAATGAGATAAAAAATCATCGTATGGGTAACAAGTGTGCGATATGTACCGAAATAATAATCGAACAATACTCTAGTTAACTGGGTGACCGCCGAGTGGCCCCAAAACGTATAAAACAAGTTTTCAAAAGGGAGAGGGTATAGACACGCGTCTCAGGGGAGTTGACAGTGTTACCCAGGAGTCGGTCTAACCGGCTCACCGCCACCCTTCGGACCAGATAAAAAAATACAAGTAAAAATGGTACGAGTCATTCATCGCATCTGTCACGAATTGTCCCATTTTCCTTTTTCTTTATGTCGGATTTCTTTTTTTTTTACTTCCTCGTGGGAGAGACAATCCGGTTATTGTCGAGTGGAAATCACGGGTTGGTAGGGGCTTTTTTTTTCGTAAAAATTGGAAATAATAATGGTAAATAAGCGGGGGCTGACATGGGTATCAGGAAACAGCTGTGAGGAAGCAGGTGGAGGTACCCCCTGAGCATCGGCGTGAGGCCGACAGTGAAATGCGCGTGGCCGACCGGATGCCATGGAAAACCTTTTAAACCAGTTCTTTTTCTCATTTTCATATTATTCATTCTGATGATTGAGAATTATTGTCATGATTTCATTCAATCTATTCCATGCTTCGATCAATGGTACGTTCATCTCAGACACGGTTGAAAAAAATGTCAAACAATTTTTTGGCGGATGAGACAATTTTCTCCACAAAATGTCTGCGTTGTTATCAAGATATTGCTATCACAAATAATGAAGGCGATCGCAATTTCATTCTCGAAAATATTTTGAAAATCTCGCCGATTCCAAAATTCTCTTCTAGGATTTAGAATTTATTATTCGGAAGTGATTGGCCTCGGTGGTGGCAAGATTGAGGATGGCATGCGGGTCTCGGTCACCGCAGGTCAGAAATCCCTCATACAAATTTTCGTCCCTTTCAAATGTAAGGAAGACTTGGAGTTATTGCTAGACCCAGACACGGTTAAATCTCCAATATCTATTCCTCAAATACCAATATATCCGTCTAGTGAAGATTTACCGGAATCCGAATGATATGCCCTAAAACGGAGTTTCCTTCGAACGAAAAAACGGCAAATTCTTCACCTCCATCCGCAAAAAAAATGTTCGATAAATTTGATACTTCAAAAAATTACAGCTTTCCGAATCTGTTCCCTCAATTAACCGAAGAATAATTTTTCAAAATTTTTTTCATCTTCTCACACTGAATCTCCTGTCTGGAAATTATCCTGCTAATAACCCGAGCGCTAAAAATAGAATAACTTGAGAAAAAGAGAGAAAAAAAAACAAGACCCTAGAACACAAATTCACGGGGGTGAGTTGAGTGACTAGTAAAGAACATCTGGTGAATAAGAGGAGTCGGTATCGCATCTCAGCTTTTTTTTCCTTATTCTTTTCTGAAGGGAGAGGGGCCCACCTTTTTTGAGATTCCGACCAAGCAGCAACATGTGGCTGGCACGTGTTTCCCCGGTGCAATTCTACGATTTATATACATGTATGTATAGGATGATGGTCTTTCTTTTGGGACCTTGCTGCAGCTGCCTTGGCCCAGGCCCCTCCCCCCACATCCACAGCCAGACGAAAAAGGGCCTCGGAAGACACTCAAAGGAATCCTCTGGGTCCTCTATCCAATGCCTCCTTTCATTCAAGTGTTTGCTCAGGAATTTTCATACCTGAACCGCTTCGCTCCCGAGTTTTTACGACCAAAGTTATGATTTCAACGGAAATTTTTGCCCCGATACTTTCAAACTAGATCAGATCTTTCGAATAAAATTAAAATTCACGCAATACTTCCATTCTCGCTTCCAAACCATTCTGGAGATTCTTTTAGAATTTTTTTTAGCAGTCAATCAATTATTCTGACTTTTTTTTAGGACTGAGTTGTGAATTATGTCATGAATAAATATCACCTCAATCATTAAAAATATTTAATCGCCCCAAATATTTCTCCCCAATTACAATGGCGAAGAAAAAACAAGGGCGATTAAATGCTGCGGTAGTGTGATTAAAAGCGAGCTTTCACTTGGCAGTCTTTATTTCTCCAAATGAGTTGGAATCGGATGTGGAGGCTGTTTCACACGGTATACGACGAAAAAAGGCTAACACAAGTCTCAAATACATCTCCCTTATCCCTCTCCTTCGTTTCCTGCTGTTGGATTCTCCTTATTCGTCTTTGTACCCAGCCATTGTCATAAACGAGCAAATCCCAACGATCAACCAATTTCTCAGTGTCCGATAAATAAAAATTCATCATGAAAATTTGTGGATTAATCTCTGTCACGTGTCGGTGGGCATTAGAGTTTTGTTAACCGTGAAGCATTACAAAGACATTACACATTGATGTGGAGTGATCATGAGGGGTAATGGGGTCTTTGCACGTGACCCGCTCCCACGAAGATTTTAAGTCGGCTGTCGACTTACCCCCTGTATTCCCAGCATCACAGAACTTTACAATTAAGGGCAAACACTGAATTTATTTTTGGAAATCATCAGCCTTCATTTTTTTCCCCCAAGACAATTTTATCACCCTCAAATAATTACTCAAAACAGAATACTCGGAAAATTATCTCCAATTTCAGTCGACATTTTAAAATTGTAGTTTGTGATATATTCGATTAAAAAATTATTGAGAAAACTCGAATATCTTGGAAAATGCTTTTCCTATTGGTCTGAAATTTTGCCCAGATATGCTGTCAAGTCATGAATATTAATCCACAAAATTTCATTTTTTTAGCTTCAACCTTACTCCTAGATTTATTCATGCCAAAATAATTCACTTGAAACTTCAAAACCGAGTGATGAACTTCGATAAGAATTGCCAAAAACTATAAAAGGGAAAAAGCGATCGAGAATTGAAAAAAAAAAATGTCAAGTGAATTTAATCGAGATCAGTAGTTTAATCTATCGGACGACAACAAAGAGAGAAAAAAATCGGCGAGGGGCAGGAAAAATGGATACGAACAAGTGCTGGAGCGTCTGCGGTGTGGGGAACGTATCAATAGCTCGTTAAACCTGGTTTCTCGAGGGTTGATACTCCCCGACCCCAATAACTTCGACACTTGAGCCGAAAATTTATTTAAAACGTATCACGCTCAATGTGAGCCGAAATACCCCTCCCCCCTTATTTTCAGCGTGTACCCACCCATATCCTGGGGTAAATAAAAAAAAAATCTTATGTATTGTTGGAGATACCGTGCGAAATGCTGGAATAGTGCACAGGTTGGACACAACGTACTTGAATCAAGTGCCAAGGGGAATTCTATTTTAAACCATCCAAATTTCTCCTTTGATTTTTCATAACAATAAAAAAATTTAATTCACCTGTTTTCCCAATTAGTCTAACGAATTTTGTTATCACCCGATTTACATTAAATTTTCTATTTTCACGGAGAAAACGTGACTTTTTAAAAACTTGATTATTTTCGGGAAAACTCGAGATCTGAATTCAATCCGTTTAAATTCATTTTTTCGGTGCACCTGAATTTTTTAATCAAATAATTATCACCCCCGCCCTGTACTCGATAAAAATTCACATATCCATGACCCCGGATGATTACGAGTCACACACTCACCCCCTCTTCTCGTAACCCCTGGCTAATATAAACATTATAGCCCCCAGGAGATTTGCCTGCACCCCAAAAAAATGACATTGTATCGGTGGTAGGATAATGATGTATCAATGGGGTTGAAGATACTCCAAATAAAAAACTATCACTCGATAGTCCGCATAAGGTGACCCATATGCGACCCCCATAATTTTCTCGTTATGAATTTCATAATAATTCCATTGTTATTGTTCATTGTTTCAGGGTGACTGGTGTACAGGCAATGCCATCCACCACTGGGCGTCTCTCTAGCTCTATCGAGAAATTATTGCTAGAGAAAACACTTTCAGTGTTCATTGTTCTCGCTCATCTTAATTGCGACAGTACAAAAAATCTCCTGGGATCTATTTCATCGAGACCTGCTGCTGTACTAGCTGCTGCCTACACAGCAGCCACTTTAGTCGCGGTTAGTTGAATTTTTTCAAAAACTATTCATTATAAATCCCCCCTACACGATCACCCAAGGAAATAATATTACTAATTCATATCTTCGGTCGTCCTAAATCCGCTTCATTATTATTTTCTCGCGAATCCTCGATCACCCCACCTACTCCTCAACTATCACAAATAAAACTTCAAAAACGCTGAGGAAAGAATGAACTGAGACTTTTATAAAGTTAGAGATCGTTAAAATTCTCCAGCCAACTTTGAATCCAAGTTTATCTTCCTCCAAAGACCTGAGTCTTTGTTGTTAATTCCCACCCACTCTCCACTATCCGACGACGATAAATTTCAAAGAGTTTTGAATTGAAATATTTAACACAATTACTCGGCCCCCAAATTAATTGCCATATTATTTTTGAAAACTCATCAACAATCCCTCAATTTCCAGAGCCCGTATCTGAATCCAGCTCGCGCCCTGGGCCCGGCCTTCGTAATGAACCGATGGGACAGCCACTGGGTATACTGGGTGGGTCCGATAGCCGGTGGCCTAGTAGCTTCCCTAGTCCACGAATACGCCCTTTCCCCAAAGCGTCCCCACAATTCAGTAGACCTGGACGACGGAGATAATTCATCTATGCGCTCCGAGGACGATCCCTACGACGATTTGGACAAAGCAACAGGCGCTAAATTTCCCGGTGGTTATGCAACCTATCGCCCGGTGACCGGAGCATCCTCAATTTATTCACCACCACCTAGCGCCATCGAACGCGTCGAATCGATCTACGGCGGCACAAAATCCCTCTACTGCAAGTCCCCACCACTGACCCGGGCCAATCTCAACCGATCCCAGAGTGTCTACGCAAAATCTACATCAGGCCCAAGAGAAGGCCTCGTTATTCCAAAGCCAGGGCCCCTCGTACCCGCGCAGAGCCTCTACCACATGCGCATTGGACCCAGTACTCTTCCCCTCCCCAGTCGAGAACAGGGGGCCTCATCGGCATCATCCAGTCAACCACCCAATCACTCTCAGGCCCAAAATCATAACAGTACCAATCAAAATATGCAAAATCAGCTGCAAGCCTGTACTCAGAGTATCTACGGTATTCGGGGGATTTCAACGAGTGTTTCAACACGAGAGAGTGGAATTTATGGAGTTACTCCTTCGAGTATTTACGGTAGGGCCCCTGTACCCCCACCATCGAGTTCGCAAAATTCTCAGAATTCGAGTCAGAGTGGACAAAGGGAGCAGAGAGAACAGAGAGAACAGAGAGAGCAGAGAGAACAGAGAGAGCAGAGAGAACAGAGAGAGCAGAGGGAACAAAGAGAGCAGAGGGAACAAAGAGAGCAGAGGGAACAGAGAGAACAGAGAGAACAACGGGAGCAGGCTCTTGGAGGGCCAAATCAGGGACAGGGTTGCAGTGGGCCCGAAGGTGCCACTGGACCCAGAAGACCCGAAAGTATGTATGGGCACATATCGAGAAGAAGCGATGACTCCGCTTATGGAAGCTATCAGGGGAGCAATAGGGGTAATTATGGAAAAATTCCTGGACCACCACCACCTCCTGGCTGGAGCCAGTCAATGCAGATGGAGCAGAATAGACCCAGTCCTGTGGCTGGGCTACTCCAGAATCAGAATCAAAATTTTCAGAGAAATTCACCTAATCCACAGTATTAAGGATTTTCGGGGCTCCTTTTGAAATGGAGGGGGATACGAGAATTAAATATTGAAACATGTGTTCTAGGGAAAGGAGAAAACTTACAACGTTGAAAAAATATTCCACTTAATACTGATCAGTTTTTTTTTAATATACAGAAATCTAGGGGACTTCACGTGAAGATTTTCACGAAGAAAAATTTACTGCCGTACAAAAAAAAAACTGTTCACCATTTTTTAGTCATCTTTCCACAGTAGAAAATACTGTTCATGGAGTTATGTGTATAGAGAATTATTTCGATTGCTCATTTAGAGGTAGTTTATGAATAAAAGACTGTACATAGGGAATTAACGAGGCAGTTAATTCGTAATTTCAATAATTCGTAGAAAGTAAGGACGAATCGAACTGCTGTATATCCCAATTAGCTGTAATTCATTTTTATAATTTTTATTTATTATGTATAATCACTTCGTAAGATCACTAGGTCTTAGATTATAATTGTTGCATGTATGTGAGTATATTATTGAAGGGAGTCATTCAATAAATAATTTTAGAAGTACTGAAACAATTTTGTCTAGCTTATGAGTTTTTTTTTCCTTGAATTTCGTATAAACTTAGAAGATACTGACGAGTAACGAGAATGTACGAGGAGTTTCAGTTCCATTGATCCTCGGACCTGCCGAATTTGTAAGTCAAAGAGCCGAGGAAGATGAAAATATTTTGCATGAAGAGGGCGACTCCTGGCCAATGATGAGGAGCATCTGATGTGGAGAGTACAAAATAATAAATAAATTATTCTCTGAATTTTCGTAAACCCTTCAACATACCTAATCCCTAATGAAGAAATTATTGCCGAGATTTTCTCATTTTTCATGGTTTTGTATATTTCCGTAGATCAGATAGAAAAAATATTTCGTATTTTTATTTTATCGTCATTCAACGACAATTGTATATGTCCCCACATTTATTTTGCCAACCGCATCTCAGAAATTCGGAAGAAAAAACCTGAAGAATGAGAAGATATCCACAACAACTCCTTCAGATGTGAAAAAATGAAAGTCACTTGCCCTTGGCAACAAAATTAGCGAATAAAATCCAGCACGCAGCAATGACAGCTGCAAATCCGATGACAAATCCAACGAACATCCAAAACCTAGCTCCCCTGGCACCCATACATCCTCCATTATAAGCATCGCCCCTTATTTGGGCATTTGTCACTGAATTTACCCTGAAAATATAATCTCCTCAAATTCCTATGCCAAAAAAAATAGCTATGTCTTCAATATCATAGAGCTGTATCATGTAAAGTTACTTCAGCTGATACTCAATTTTGGCATGTCTGGAGCATCGCCCAGTACTCCAAGGATCCAATCTACTTACATAAACAACGATAATGTTCCCAAAACTCCACAAACGTGATAAGCACTGACCATCTCTGTGTGGTACTTGGCGTGAGCATCAATGATAAACCACCAGCCCATGAAAAACTGTTCAGATGAATCCAAAAAATAAAAAATCCATAATTTCTAGAACTGAGTCCTCAAGATATTACAAGAAGAATAAAATTCTTTGGAATATTTCAGAAGTAAACAAATAGCGGATTGGTTACCAGAGTCCCAGCGAGCATCGACATGAGAGCATTTCGCTTCTCACCAGCCTCAAACCACACGCAGGAAGGCATCTGAACATTCTCCAAACACGTCGCCATTATTCCAAATTAATTGACTTTTTTTACGAATTAATTTCACTTCTATTAATTAAATATGAGAACACTTTGCGATATTTTTTGACTGGCTGTGGAGTCATCAAACACTAACCTATCACTGCTGAATGACAGCTGAGAGTGCAATCAGTGCATCAGGGAGTGATTTTACCGAGTGATGCTACAAATTTTTCCAAATCCCTCCGTTATCAACAAATTTGAAATTATTTTGCAAATTTCAGGACTTTCCGCGTCATCAATGTTAATTAATCAGAAATTGTTATCTCATGAATATTTAGCTCGAGAAAACTTATACCAAATTATACGTCGTTTGACTTTTTTTTCCATCATTGCAACGTCATTACTTATAATGGAAATTTCACTAAAAATTCGTTTGGACTATTAAATATTTTTAGTGATAATCCCAAACGGAAGGATTCGGTTTTTCTTTTAATTTTTATGATGAAAAAAAAATGTATAGTTCGGTAAAGCAAGACTATTGTCAGCACCAACACGAATTTAATGTGTATGTGTGTGTGTCTCAGAGTAGTCAATAAAAATACCATCCATGCAATCAGTTGAGTCTCGTGACTCGGCACCACCACGCGGCCTCCACGAAGAATAAAATCGTGTGCAAGTATTTTCCAAATATTCATTATTCCCCAGTGAATAATTAATTTATTAACGCGCGTGAGGGGTGACACCAGTAGCCATGGATGCAGAGGCATTCCTGGACATGGCCAATCAGGTCATAAAACTCAAAATGTTTCCTTATTTCGATATTGCACACGATGTTCTAAGTGCACTGCAAGTTAGAGAGGATTTGGGACCCGGTAAGATGTTAAAAACTCCCGTACAGCTGAAGTCTAAATTTAAAGTGGACCAACCAATCCCCGAGAGGACATCATCCAACTCGTTTTCACCATTTTTCACCGCTCTACCATTTTTTTATTCCGACTCTCAAAATTACACGTTTCCACTCTAATTAGCATTTAAACTGCACAATCAGTGATAATTGATTTTTCATTTATTGTAATTTTTTTTATCTACCTCAAGTTTGAGACATCTAATTGAAATAATTGAAAGGAACTTTCACTGAATTTTCATATTTAACACTTGATTTCCATAACTAGGAGTAATTTCTCTCAATTATTTACCTATCGAAAGCGAAATAGATTTATCGATCATTTATAGAAAGAATTTGATTCTTCGTTTTATTTTAAAATTGAATTTTTGGTAATTATAATAATTCAAAATGTCTTGGAGCAATTTTTATATTTCTAAATCAACAGTTTTGGCTACTGAAGCTGATCTATTTTCGTATTTACCTCGATTTTCCCCTCAATACTGTATACAGTGTCATACAGAAAATTAATTTGCCCTTTATCAATTAATATATCTAAAAACCCAAAAAATTCTCCACTCATACCGGAATAATTCGCATGGAATAATTAGGAATGGAAAAGAACGAAAGTTAACTAATTATTAATGAATTTTTATGACATCAAAGGCGCCCAAGCATTCTCGCGGAAACATCCGCTGTCATGCTGGCTCTCAACGATGCTCGTGGTATTTGCTGGAGGAATGTTATGCAATGGATTACTTGGAGAACCGATACTTGCACCCTTAAAAAATACCCAACAAGTGCTATTAGCGACCGCAGTCTGGTAATTCCACCAAGATATTAATTCGAAATAAACAATTCCATTTCCACTAGTCATTTCTCTACGAATATCGTGAAAATTCTAAACAATTTTTTCATCCTCAATCCCTCAGGTATTTTATTTTCTACATGCCGTTCGATATCGGATACAAATTAGCGAAATTTCTTCCTATTAAAATAGTCTGCTCTGCCATGAAAGAAATTTACAGGTAAGATACTCAATAAGAGTAATTACATTTATCTCCATTAATCAATTAAATGAAACTCTGCATTCTGGCAGGTGTAAGAAAGTCTATGATGGTGTAACACACGCTGCCAAACTCTACCCTAACGCATACCTCATTATGATTTTAATTGGAACACTTAAAGGTGAAGGGATCTAATTTTTCCCATAATTAATATGACCTCCTTTTGTTGAAGAAATAATTGAAGAACTATCAAAATATTTTTCACTAGGCAATGGAGCTGGTTTCACGAAATTATTTGAACGTCTTATTCGAGGAGTCTGGACTCCAACAGCAATGGAATTCATGCAGCCAAGTCCGTGAGTACCAAATTACGATCATTACCCATACACCTATAAATATCCTGCCATTTTCCTAATTCAATATTTATTCTTTCAGCTATACCAAGGCATCCCTCGTAGCCTCGATTATTTTCGTTCTGGACAAAAAGACTGACATAATTTCAGCACCCCATGCACTCGTATACTTTGGAATAGTCATATTCTTTGTATACTTCAAAGTGAGTGGCAAGAATTTACTGTGAAATTCCTCTCATTGAATTATTTTAACTCGTCAAATAATTGTAATTCATGATTTTTGATAGTTATCATCAATTCTTCTCAATATTCACGATCCTTTCATCCCCTTCGAGAACCTGTTCGGTAATTTATTTCTGGGTGGATTGATCGACTGGATGGCAAAATTCTCGGGTCGTGGTCAAGCAAAGGACGAGAAAACTGACGCCAAAAAAACTAATTAAGCTGTAAGTACCTTCCCCTCAAGCTGTACAAATTGTTGAATAATCTGTTTAACTCTCAACTAGCATCACATCACACCTCTGGGATTGGATTCTAGTCAAGATCTGAGTATTTCATCAACGACTGTGGTGTCTATCGAAGATTGCCAATAAAAATCGAACTTCAAACCAAAAAGCAGACGAAGTTGACAGTATTATGCCAACGAAACGAGAGAAACATCAAGTCACACGAATGATATCATGATTTTAACAATTTTTAAAAAGAAAACGTTCTTGCCAATATACGAAATATCCTAGTCTACTTAGAAATCCTGAAAAAGCATGAGAATCAACAACCTTCCGAATTTACGTAGAAATCACCAAGAAGGGGAATTAAATATTTTTATATACTCGTGCGATGAGATTTTTGGCATTTTTTATATCTCCATCGAGGAGATTAGCTTAAATTTCAACCTAAAATTCATGTAAATAAGGCTAATGATGAATCAGTACGTCCTTCCAATCATTATATATCCATTTTTGCATTGCAATCGTTTCAGGGTTTTTAGCAAGAGATCAGTGTGGTCCTGGTGGATATTTTTTGGGTTCGAATTTGTCAGTGAAGAGTGCTAATTTCGTGGAAAATAAAATGGTGAGGATGGGTTTGTGGCGTGCTGTGGAAATTTCAGTGTTTTTTTCCAGTGACAATGTTGAGGTTGGTGATCCGGGTGCTCTTGCTTCGTATTTTTTTGGATCCCGACAATATTGGTGAGGATGTCTACCCCTCAAGATCTGTAAGAAAAATCACGATGTGCCCTGGGTGGATATATTTGTGGATCCAGAGAATATTGTTGAGGATGTGTACCCCCTCAGGATGTGTTTTTTTTACAAGTGATGATTATTGAGGATGTATACCCCTCAGGAAGTGTTTTTTTTACAAGTGATGATTATTGAGGATGTATACCCCTCAGGAAGTTTTTTTTTTGCAGGTGATTATTGAGGATGTATACCCCTCAGGAAGTGTTTTTTTTACAAGTGATAATTATTGAGGATGTATAC